TTTMMCACAACAGTGGATGTTWGAGAGCATTTGTCAGGAAATGACAATGATTTTTGTTGATGTTAAAGATGGTACTGCGTCTACACTTGTACAAGCAATAAAATACATACAACATAAATCAAGGTACCTACAACTATTTATTCTAATAATAATGTCKGTGTGGTTATAAAACTGATGAACTACAGAATGCTGGATTTAACCTTTTAACCGTGAATCATAATTACAAATTTATCAAACCTCAAACTGGTGCTCACGCATTGAATATTGAAAAGTTGTGGGGATCCTCTATATGCCACAACAAAAAAAAATTAAGGTACCTACGGCTCATGTCAACATCTAGACAGTTATTTATTTGGTTGAATTCATGTGAAATCAAATAATCAAAAGCACGACAATCCATTTATGCGCATTTTTAAYTACATGGCTGAATATTCTCTTCCACGAGATAATTAATAATTTTCAATTGTATTCCTAGATTTAATATTTTTTAATTCATTTATTTTAAATTACGCTACATAAAGAAAGGTAGTCGCGAGATAACCGATAAGTACCATTTAAATCTAATAATTAAAATTAAATTGAATTGAATTTGTGTTGATAATATTTATTATTCCAGTTTTAAGCGCTTTTTACAATTCAAATATATTTTTTGTGATAGGTGCTATTAACTTCATTTTTAACTATCGTAAGATACAACATTTATTTTACCTATTCACTTAWTCAAATTTGAGTAAGAAGTGTAACAAAATATTTAAGTGTTCAATTTTGTTTGATTGCTAGGTATAATGTGGTAGTTTTTAGAGAATTTAATTAACCAATGAATAATATAATAAGTTATAAAACTAAAAATTTGTATTTTTGGTTGTATAGGTAATATAATAAACATCAATTATGATTTTTATTTTATCAATTGGGTATTCATATAGCCATACCATATCTACTAATATTTAAATTAATAATTTTATGTTTTTAAAAGTTGATAGAATAGATAGGCAAATCTTATTAGTTATGAATTAATGAAATTTCATGAACCATCTATTTGATCACAAAAATATTATTTAATTATAAAACCAGCTGTATCCCAATATTCTGACTAAATGTAAGTAACTATGGTTTTATTTTTTATTTCAACCTCATATGAATGCATGAATATTTTTGGCCGAGTACTTTTTGTTATTCATATATTTCAATAAATGTGTTAACAAAGTTTAATATTCGTATCCGAGGTTTAAAATTAGATAATAACCTATTAACTTATTTTAAAAATAATTACTCAAACGTTTCTCATTGGTAGATCATGCTATATAAATAAGTGATATGAATTTATGATTTTAAAATAATTCAATTAGCAAAATTTAACATTATGTTTTAAGATGTATTGATATAATTTATAATTATTTAATTCCTGTGTTATACCTGAATAAATTATACAGCTCTAATAGTTATGCAACTATTTGATTCTTAAGCAAAATGACCTTATCCCAACAATTATTGTTGAGTCGAGTCAATATTTRATAATTGTACTGTCTATAATTATGAATATTTTCCCTACATTTTAATTTTACTTTACAACTTTAAAAACTAACATTATTTTACTCAAAGTTATTTTTTAATTTTAAAATGTATTATCAGTTTAATATGTTACAATATACTTTAATATGAATTAATTTTTTAAATGAAACATATTTGTAGATGCTATAGATTAGGTATTAGTACATAATATTATATATTTTTAAGTTTCTAGCCGAGTAGRTCCATGCTTAATTTCAAACATATGGAAATATTATTAATTAACTCATAGATAATAAAGATATGGATAAGACATAAYGGTCTTATAAGTGGGAATTAAGGGGTACAATTGAGGCCAAATAAGTATACCTATATCGAGTATCGACTATCAATATAAAAGCATTGATAAAAGAGCCTCAATTGCCTCTCCTCCGGGAACGCGGCCTCAAATATGTTTAATRTAGGCGTAGCCTATCCATATCTTTATTATCTATGAATTAACTTCAATGAATACCTAACCTAACCTAATAAAGTAATAAATAATGTTAACTTGATCGTCATGAATCATGATTATAATTTATATTGAGAGGTCTGCCATAATAAAAAAGAAATATAGTCTGTACTCATATCTTCATATATTAATCTGTAAATAATGATTTTGTTTCTTTATTCATTGCTCATAAACTTGTTTACTTAACATTAGTTGATATTAAGTTAAAGTGTGTGTTCATGATAMTATCATCACTTGTAAATGTGAACAAACATTAAACATACCAATTGAGTTCAATTCATTATTTATGATAGATTTAACTGTTATTTTATTTAAAATGTTTGGTTAAGCTGATATTATATGTATATATATATATATTTGCATTCACATCTTCTAATATTGCAATGCAGAGGTTTTTAAACCATTTATTTGAGGGCTGTTTAAAAATTAAAAAGTATACCAAAACATAAATATAATCACAATTTTACAATTTTAATTTTATAGAAATGCAATGAACATATATATTATTGTAAGTTCTTAACAATTATCGTGTTATTTAGAAATATGTTAAAAATAATTTATTATTAATGTGTGTAAAAGTCCCTAAGTATGAAAAAAGTCTTGTAGTCTTGTATTAATATTGCATGTAGCACTCAGTGTCTGCCTAGTACTTGAAGGGCCCCGGATGCATTTCTTCAGAAGGGCCCCCAAACATGTTATTAAATAAWAATGATAAAAAATGCTTATAAGTAGTGAAATATTATATTTTTAGTAATATCGGGGCCGCTCRACACAAATACGGCCGGGGGGCCCCGGATGCATTTGTGGCTTAGCGGCCATGGCCAGGCCGACACTGGTAGCACTATAATAATCTATATAGTTTCAAATAAATAAAATAATGTATTATAGATGGTTCAATTTGGAATTATATACTACTTTAATAGCCGTAGATTGGATTCTAGATTCCTGATGTAAAATGTGAAACATTATCTTACATTAATTTTTATGATATATATTATATAACTACTTACATTTTTTGTTCAAAAATTTACTCATTATTTAATGAACATGTAGATTTTTATATTCGCTGTGTTTAAATAACAATTTTTAATATGTTCTTTAAATAAAATARAAAACAATGTATTAAAAAATTTAAATAACACTTGTACTAGGTGCCCATATACACTAAGTAGGTATGGGAATATGAAATAAACTCTAGTAATACTCAACAATTAATAATTTTTGTTTCAAGAAATAATGAATAATAGTTTCAAAAATAAATAATTTAACTTTCTTGGATTCTTTAAAAATGTAGTATCAAGGATTTTTTGTTTGAATAATATGGTAATTATGTGTATATATATATATACCTAATTACTTCTGTATCTATAACAATTTATCGAATGCTATAAGTCTTGCAGTGTTTAGTAAACCCTTGGAAGCTGAACTTGTTCATTATTTATCTTTAGGACTAAAATTTATATGCAATAAAAATTGTAAAATATGCAAAAACAATTGTTTTTTATTTCTATTTAACATTTTAAACATAWAAYTCTGAAATTAGGTTATTTATTTATTATAAGTAGTGAAGTAGTCATTATTGCATTGGAAATAGCTGTAATAATAATAATAATTTGCTTTCAAATTTTAAACACGAATGAAGAATGACCGGCAATTGAACGGTTTTGGTTGGTATTTTGAAAAAAATACTTATAGGTATATTGAATAAAATTTGTCATACTAATGAAAAACATAAATAATGTTTATTTGTGGCTCGGCGTGGCGCTTAGGCTGTTACCAATCGCGGAATAAGTAACGGCCGTCGGCCACAGCTACTAGCTCCCGCCTCCCTGATGGGTGACCACCCGGGTCCATAGTAGTTAAAAACCTTGCCAGACATGACACTTACGTGTTTGCTACCTACCGTAACAACCGTACCAAAACCTAACCCTATTACACCAACAGTTTATGGCCTTAGTCGTCAGACTTAAGATCAATAAAAAAATAATAATGTTTAAGTAATTCTATGGATCKTCAGACCAACATAAGAATAGCTAGATAATAAATTTACTACAATTCGTCAAATACCCAATAATTATAAACTTTAATTAGACTAATGCCATTAAAAATTCATAGGATTTTCATCGAATTACGTACATAACTATATACAAAATGTTCGAAATTTGCAAAAACAAAAATTGCTTTATTTAATCGAGAATAATCCAAAACCTGACAATGTTAGGACACGAGGAAAAGTCATGCAATTGCGTAAAAGTACTACCACTTTTAATCGTCATTATTTCACCATATATCTTGTATTGCTTCAAATAAATCGTTTTAGGTATTATTCATATCATTCGATTTCCCCCGAACTCGCTAACTGAATTTTAAAATACAACTCGTTGCTAACACACCCAAATGCTTTGCAGTTACATCGAACCAGTGACATTTTCCCCAAATCAGCAATTATCGCGACGTCATGTAAATTTCGTCAGTTATTTGATCCCGTAAATACGAATTCAACGGCATAAAGAATCCTAAATGTTCTCAAATTCTGACGAACATGGTGCATATGATTATCGTTTAAAAGAAAATCTGTACCGAGACATGAGAGTAAGTAGTATTGGGTATAGCGTGTAATGTAGTAYGCATTAAACAGAAGTCAGTACACACGCTGGTAATTTATTGACCTGGACAAAACGACGTTCGGCGGCGTGTTTGGGCATGCCCACGAACCGCGAGTTGTCACTGGTCTCGCGCCTCCTCCAGACCACCAGTAGGTATATTGATTTTACGCCGCTTGCACAGTGCACACTCTCCAGTTAGTCTCTCGTCGTCTAACCTCACCGTGGCTCGCCTTTTTCGTCAGTAAATTATATAAAAAAATCGTTTAAAAATTTTTAAACTGTCGCAAATCAAAATAGATTTCAGACGTCTGAAACTGATTCACTATTTAAACATTATATTACCGAAAACCTCTCGTAAACATATGGTGGTGCTATCTCGTATAGGTGAGTATGTGTATGTGCCCTAAGGTAGTACTTATGGTTAAATGTCGATTTTTAACGTTATAGTTTTGATATTTTGATATTATGAAATGTCAATATCTTCAGTATATGATGTAGTAAATTCTAAGTTTAATATATTTTATCAATTTAGTATCTGTAATAGTGTAATGGTTTATAAAAAAAGTTGAAATTGGATGAATGAACAAAAATTGGACGAATATACACACTAATCTCTACCTATTTTACTATTAACTGTTTTTTTTTCCTTCTAGAAAAATTATGATGGCTATAAAGTGTATGTTGTTAAAAAATAGATTGTGAACAATATTTGTTTAATCAATAATAACTATTTTTTTGTGTAAACACATGGTTACAATATTATTTTTTAGATATTTGATTTTTCATTTATTAATGAAGGAATGATTTTTTTCCAGTATCGCCATCATTATCCAGAGCAAGATCTGGGAGTTGTAAAAAGCTCATAGAGCCATTTATTGGCCCTGCTACAAGGTGCATGAGTTCTTTAAAATATCAAGGTTTTAGTTTTCGGTAAATATTATAATAAAGCCATTTAAAAAAGAAAATTGAAACAACATTTTACTTTTTAAATGTCTTATTTTTATAGAAATTTGTTGGAACAGGACATCAAAATACTGCAGCAACCGACACAGAAAATCGCAACCATTCAGGGAAACGTGACGGGTTATACTTAATAGGAACAACACAGCTGCAACCATGGGTAGCTTAAATGTTAATCGGAATGTCAGTGATGCATTCTATCGATATAAAATGCCTAGACTTATGGCTAAAGTCGAAGGCAAGGGTAATGGCATCAAAACCGTAATTGTCAATATGGCTGAAGTAGCTAAGGCTATTGGAAGACCRGCTACATGTAATTTAAAACCAAAACTATTAGTTTATTTACATTATTGAATATATTTTTTATTATTATTTGATCAGATCCAACTAAGTTCTTTGGCTGTGAACTGGGTGCTCAAACTCAATTTGATTTTAAACATGATAGATTCATTGTAAATGGAGCTCATGATGCTGGCAAACTACAAGTAAGTGTACAACTTATTTACTTAATYCATATTCAAATATTATTTGATCATTAGTTTTTTGTGGTAATTTAATTATTATTTTAAGGATCTTTTGGATGGTTTTATTCGCAAGTATGTGTTATGCCCAGAGTGTGATAATCCAGAAACTGAATTGATGATCAGTACTAGAAAGGGAACAATACATCAGGGTTGTAAGGCTTGTGGTTATTATGGTTCTTTGGAATCCAACCATAAACTCAATGCATACATATTGAAAAATCCGCCAAGTATGAGTTTTCAATTTATACATTTGTGTAACCATTATTATATTAACCTTTTAAATTATAGATTTAAATCCAGCAGCCCAAGGGTCATCTTTAACTGAAGGAAAACGTAACAAACGTTCTAAGAAAAATGGCGGTGAAAACGGTGAAGGAGGCAGGTCTAGTTCTCCAGAAGATAACAATTCAGAATTGATAGTTGAAGCTCCAGAAAAATTAGCTGAAGACGTAAGCTATTAATTTTTTTTTAATTATTACATATAAACATTCACGTGTACATCATATGTCTTCTCTGGCCACCCAAAGCCCTATTAATAATTTAAATCATGATGTGTTTATAAATACAAAAATGCAAGAAAACCAAAACCAGTTGTTTCTAGTTTATAAACATTAACTGATTGGTTGATGAGATATTATTATTGATTGACGCCATTTAAATAATTTTTGATATCATTTCCAAATATAAACAACATGACATTGAACTTGTTTTTGTGTTTTTTATAAATTTAGGACGGTAATGATAATTGGGCTGTTGATGTATCTGAAGCAGCAGTTAGAGCTCGTATGCAAGATTTAACTGACGGAGCTAAAGGATTAACCATCGATGAAGATACTGATAAGACTGAAAAAGAAAGAATGGATATATTTTACAACAAGGTAACAATTTGATAGTTAAATACATAAATAAATGATATACATTTATYTGTAGCTAATACTATTAACAATTTAACTGATAATTTTGTTAGTATCTTTTAATGATCATAAGTYTTTTGTAAAAGATATTATATACAATAAAATAGTTATTAAATTAATAAAGTACCCATCATTTTGCACTAACAATCTGTATCTATATCAATAACAATCAAATGTATAATGCGATTTTTAGTAGAAAATATTTTATTTTTTTTAAATCATTCAACATTTTACTTTAGAGATTAATTAAAGAACACTTTTATACACCTTATTTGTTTGACTGATTTTGCATTTGTGTCTGGGGTAATAAAGATCCCAGTAAGAAAGTTATGCATAGCCAGTAACAAATAATCATTCTTAACAAGGCCACAACCATTTTTCTCTTATTATCAATCGCCTGCAATTTATAATATTTCTTTATTTCTGTTTTATTTAATGCTTAAAAAAAAAAAATCAAGCAGCACTAATTGAGCTTAAAAATTAAGTGTATAGTGTTTTTGCGTGTATTATACCTACTACAATATTATAAATACTATATATGTTTTATAGGTTCAGAAAGCACGTGATTCAGGTTTAATTTCAGATTCAGTTACAATCAAAGAAATTGTGGCTGAAGCTGAACGTTTAGAAGTAAAGAGCAAAGCTACATTAGTATTGGCTGAACTATTGTTTGATGATAAAATCCATTTGCAGGTACATTTTCTAATACTATTATGTGTTCTTGATAGCAATCACTGATTTGTATGTACATATTAATATGGTTCTTGTTTTTGGTTGTAGTTGAAAAAACATCGTGTCTTGTTCTTACGCTTTTGTCATGAGGATCAAAAGGCTCAAAGATATCTATTGGGAGGGATAGAACAAGTTATTGGWCTCCATAAAAGTAGTTTGTTGCCAAAAGTTTCTGCTATATTAAAGGTATTTCTTTTTTACTATCAAATATTGCTATTATTTTTTTATTAATCAGTTATTATTTRTTTATTTATTTATAATGTTTAGTTATTCTACGATGCTGACATTTTGGAGGAGTCTATATTATTAGACTGGGCTAGTAAGATAAGCAAGAAATATGTCTCTAAAGAACTTAGTCAGGAAATACATAACTATGCTAATCAGTTCATTACATGGTTACGTGAAGCTGAAGAAGAAGAGGAGAGTGGAGACGATAGTGATGATGAAGTAGAGGTAATACATTTATTATTTAATTTTAATATAAGTTTAGGTATGTTTTGTATAATTTTATTTTTTATAATTTTGTTTATTTGTTTCATTGATATTGTTAATGAATTAAAAATTTTTAGTCTTTCTATATAATCAAAATGGTTATTTATCATTTATTGAAATTACTTATTTCCAGATTGAATATAATGACCGTGTGCACACTAGCACATTAAAAGCAAAACCTGTACCACAAGTTGCTGTCAAATCCAATGCTGATGATAACGAAGATGATGTTGATATAGATGCCATCTAAAAATATATCTTGATGGACAGAACGTGCAAAATTTAATTTTCCAAATAAAATTAGTCACCAATATTCTATATTTAATGTATGCTGTAACCGACTAATTAATTATCAAATTTTCATTTATTGGATTYGAATTTAAAATACAATATATAAACATTAAGTAACATTTAAAATACTTCTTGTATCCTTTGTTTTATTATTTTTATTTATTTATAATTGCTAGGTGTGTGCAAATATATTCTACTAAGTGGCTATTTACTATTATTATACAGGTGCATATGCCATAAGCCAATAATTTATTCAATTACAGTAGCCATTTTTTTAAAGATTTCCAGTAATTTAAAAAACTAATCGCGTAACTTTTTATGTTAATTTTTACTCCCTAGCCACAGAAATTATATTGTAACACTCATCACCACAACATATTTGTACAACATGAATTTATGTTTTAAATACTTTTACRTATTATTTTGATTCAATACAAAYGATACTTCAGCAAAATTTTGTTATTTTTATTTGGTTATCATCATTTTACAATTTGCAGGAACTAATATTTAACTATTAAACATATTTTAAAATGACATTACTGCATTTAATTGATAGAATAATAATGCTATGTCTAGTCCTAGTTCATCAGTCATAGACATTAATATTACTAAATGAACTTGAAAATATAGGTATGTAATAAAACACTAATACWTAAATATGAATTACAGTACTATCCTATCATTTTAAAATATGAAATATATTCAGTAACAGTTATTCAGAAGTTCACTTAAACTTTTTGTTGTAGTATTATTGGCCAGATAATGACAGCTATAGACTGAGATGATCTGGCAATGGTTCAATGACTAATCATTATTATCAAACAAAAGTATAAGAGGATGTGCTTCCGTCTTACAAGTGTGTAACTTTGTTAACTTTACACTCAGCAGATCACGTTTAGCTATTAGTATTTTAAGATGTGCAAAAAATTTTATTTTTAAAATACTTATAACTCGCTTCAAAATTTAAATATAGAAAAAACTCCAGTAGGTCGTCGAAATAATTATCATAACTTTAAATTTTTTAAGAGATCAATTCATTCTAATTTTTGAACTAACTGAGTTAAACGTGATCTACTGAGCATACAATTTTCTATGTTACGCACTTGTAAGACAGAAGCAACACATGTAGGTGTCACTTCCTCGTAACAGTATAATATACTGCAATTAGTGTACCACTATTTTATTTTTAAACATTATATTTTCCAGATGTGTATAATATGTAATATGTATGCACTTAATTTGTCCAACATATCACAGTTATAATTTTTCAAAATATGTTCTCATTTGTTCAAACCAACTTAATTACGTTAAAAATAACATAATATGTTCTTATTGTCTYTTATGTGCTTAAATATGCAAAATACAATTTTTAGTGTAACCTATTTATATTTTGAGACATCTATAAATTACAAATATTACAAAACTAGAAGTTCTCAACCATTCCTGAGTATTCCAGTGTTTGTAATCGGTCGCTGCAGATCCTCTGAAAAATTAAACATTATTTTTGCATTTACCTTTGTTTGGTCATTCCTACAATAGTTTTTAAAAACATTTTATATAAAAATAATCAAATCTGGTATTTTAATGAAGAATAACAATTTTAGTTACTTGTCTTGTAACTTAAAAATATTATTTATAAACCTAGTTAAAACTTATTAAGTATATTTTAATAAAATAAACTCATAAACGCAATATTTCAGAAATTAATTCAACCTTATATAAGTAGTTAGTACTATATTACTATTTACAAATGAGAAATAAGTCACTTTAATAATAAATAATATARATTATTGTATACAACTAAAATTTGTATGGTGTTTGATAAAATAATAAACTTCCATTAATCAGGTTTTAATATTTTGCTGTAATTCTAAAATAAATAATGCTTGGCATTTGAAATGTTCACCATCACATACTTATAATACAAACTATTTTGACTCTTTTTGAGCTATTTATTGCCATGAGACATTATACAAATACATTTCAGTTAGAAATTTATAAATGTTTTTTTTTTTCATATCTGACATTAGAAATTTTAAAAGAAGAATTTCACACAAATTWATCTATCTTTGAAAAAATATAAAAATGGCGGAGGTATACACTGTTTATTATAGTCATATTT